GAACAATTAACACAGAGAACAATTAACACATAAAATGGGTGAAAAGAGACCTATTCATGCGAGAAAACACGTGGTTGAACAGCTGATCAAACGAGTAGAAATTATGCTCCCACATATCATATTTCACAAAAAACCGAGAACTCAGAATATTTACAGGTTTCCTGAATATATCACACGTCACAGAAATTCACTACAGCGAATAATAAAAAAATGGCACGCAAGAATAAATTAGGCCGTCACTTTTTCATACCTTTCAGTTCAGCGTTTTGCTACGAGAGGCACTGTAATATGTCGGTATTCTTGGGTTCTTTTCCGTGTTGTGTCTACGGGTAACATGAATTGAATGTGTAAGACAAAAATAAACAAATCTCTGGATGCGTTCCGATATTCACTGCCAGCAGTAAAATTCTATAGTACATGTGACATAAACTATGTATTTGCAGTACTGGCAGTGAATTTCGGAACGCAGTCTCTGTTTGTCCCTGTCTCACTAGTGATCAGCTGATAATGGCATCAGCAGGCACAGGCTAGCGGCGGTCTTATCTCTGTTAATCTCCCTTATATCCCTTAACTCTAAAGCGTGGTTTACAACAATGGCAAGAGTAACAGATGAAAAGAATAGTCTGTAGACATAGGCTATAAAATAAAGACCTTACGCCCGAATGTCTATAATGCTATGTAGTAAATATTACAATAAACCAAACAACATCGACGCATTCTAATCTATTACTCCTGCTATTATTGTAGACGACACTTAAGGCATCTCTCGAACAGATAAGGAACAGGAAAGAACAGATAAGAGATGGACTATAAAGTATGAAGCGTCGTCTACAATGGCAACAGGAGTAATAAATTAAGGCTGTAGACGTCGGAGTAAACTATTTTTCCAGGAATATAGGGCGTATAATAAGACCGTACCCGAAATGGTTAAATTCTACTTTTTACGGTCTGCTCCCTTATCCTCTGCCAATGAGAATTCGGCAGCAACACGTAAACATGCGCGACAGGAGATATGCGTCGACGCTGATTGGCTTATTGCAATATACAGGGTCCTCCGGGAACGCTAAAATATTTCGAAAAATATGAATGATACGAAAAAATGTTTCATACAAAAGTTATAAGGCTTAAAGAGATCTATTTAATAGTCATATCAGTTTGACCATAGGTGGCATTGCTAAGGTCACATGAAGGTCAACTTTGTTTCTTTAAATACAACTCCCTATTTCTTATTGGAAATTCTTGTAGCTTATCTCGAGAGCTTTCCAAAACATTGTAAGGAAGTCATTTTGTATTGTTCTTTCCGAGTTATGACGGTTGAAAGTTACAATACCGCCGGCATTAGCATTACCCAAAGTGTACCGCGCGGAGGTTGCATGGTCGGATTTACACCTCGCGCGCGCGCGTGTGTGTGTGTGTGTGTGTGTAACAAGTGTGTGTGTGTGTGTGTCACTACAGAGATCAAGACTCTACGGTTCGTCACTTCCGCAATATTTTAAGACTCCAAACCCTCTCCATAGTGTGTATGTGTGTGTAGGTAACATTTTTCAAGCTATTATTTTTTACTTTTTTAATTACTCAAATGTTCAAAATGTCTTCCTTCTACTGTTTGGCAATGAGCTAAACGTTCATAAAAACTATTGATCACATGGCTTATTTGTTCTAAAGTGATCAGAGATGCTTCCTGTATTATTCGATCCTTCAGATCTTCCAAATTATATGGTTTCGTCGCATAAACCTTACTTTTGATGTATCCCTAAAAAAAGAAATCAAGAGGAGATAGATCAGACAGTGATCTATCTCTTCTTGATCAGGCAGTGATCTAGCAGGTCACTCAATGGCACCTCTCCTACCTATCCATCGATTAGGAAAAGAACAGTTTAAAAATTCTCGAACTCGTACCGCAAAATGAGGTCCTGCTCTATCTTGCTGGAACCAAACGTTTTGCATGTTTGCGTCAAATAAATTTTCAATTTCAGGAACGATATAATCTGGTAATAAAGGAGGAGGGTCCCTAAGGCCTGTTTTCGACACCCTTCAAAATTGGACCAAAATGGCTGGAATCACTTCCTTATACCCTTGAAAGTAATATTTAGTCAATTCCAGCCTAAACGGAAGTATTTAGAGTGTATACTTCAAGTATACATGGTGCATCAGCGCGCCCATATCAAGCATTTCTTTGGAAAACTTAGCGTTTCTGAGAAAAATGTTTTAGATAAAAGTTGTATGGTTTCAAGGGGGACATAAGACATTGTCATTGGTTTGACCTTGGATAGTCATTTGAAGGTCACGTGAATGTCGATTTCAATATTTTATATAGAACCCCCTATTTTTACATATCTTGTAGTTTATCTCGAGAGCTTTCCAAAACACTTATAACTAAGTCATTTTTCATTAAGTACTTTGCGAGTTATGAGGCTTCTTACAGATAGATTTGTAGAAACGTTACTTAAGGAGATCCGAGATTGAAATCATATTATTTTATATTACTTAAAAATTACAATGTTTTTGATTCCTTCCTCCCTCTCCACTATCCTCCGCGCCATTATCTTCCTCTTCCCCATCCTCGTCCTCTCCATTGTCCTCCCCATCCTCGCCCTTTTCCGTTTTCTTCCCCATCCCTATCCCTTCCTTCCTCGTCTTTCGTCCCACCCTCTTCCTTGTCCACCTCCTCGCCGCCCTCTTCCTCGTCCAAAATAGTATTTACACAGAAAAATTTGCATAATTATGTTACTGATAGTTTTTTCTATAGTCCAATAAAACTTATCTCTCATTCTCTTTTAAATGTTTTCCTCCTCTTCTTCCTCGTTCTTTTCTTCTTTCTTCTTTCTCCACCTCTACCACCTTCACTTCGACCTCCTCCACCTCCATTTCCTCTTTTTCTCTCTCTCTTTCTGTCTCTCTCTGATTCCTCTCCACTTCCTGCACACTACAAATCACATTATTTATTATAAAAGAAACATAAGACAAATAACATTAAATGTTTCGTATACAAATATTCACTTAACTAAAAAAATCGTGCGGTTTTCTATACTAAGAAATAAAAAAAAGGCAGAAAATTTTAGAAAAAATTTTAATTAACTTGTATAAATCTATGTTACTACGTATGTGATATAATTAAAGACGCACGCCTCATGAGATGTAACAAGATTCCCAGCAAGCACAATGTAACATGTAACATTAATGTTGATTTAACGTTCATCGACTAAATATAATAGTTATATAACGTAGGTATTACATAACAGTTATATTGTTGAGAAATTACAACTAACAGGTATGTTACATATAACATTGTGTTTGCTGGATTCGATTATCTGTTGCATCAAACTTGTATAAAAACCGCACAAGCACTAATTCCATACATACGTAATATGCAATCCCAGTCAGAACTATAACGATGATTCGACAATGAAATAGTCGATGAACCGTTGAATCAACTTTAAATTAATCCTCTTCAATATGGGATGAACATTGTGGTTTTGACTGGTATAAAAACGGAATTAAAAAAGAATACTAACCGCTTTTTTGCACTTCATTTTTTCCTTCTTTTTCCTTCTTTTTTCTCCTCTTCCTTTTTCTTCTCCCTTTTCTGTCTTCCTTCATCTCCCTCTCTCTCTCTCTCTCTCTCTCTCTCTCTCTCTCTCTCTCTCTCTGCTCTCTATCTCTCTTCTTTCTCTCTCCCTCCATTTCTTTCTTCTCTTCCTATTTACCTTGTGTCAGACCTAAACATGTAAATTTCATATACAGGGTGTTTGAAAAGTTTGGAAACGGTCAAATATCTCGGAAACAAAACGTTTCTGAGAAAATGTTTCCAACCATAGTTGTAGGGTTTTAAAAGTTCTATTGAATGATCATATCCGTTTGACCTTAAGTGGAGGGGTCAAGGCGAGGTTAAGGTTCAACATGACTTTTTTAAATAGAACACCCAATTTTTTATCATATAACGTTAACGATGACAGCGAGATGTTTCCAAAACACTACTTGATGACTTATTTTTGTTGATAATGGTCTGAGTTATGAGCTTTAGAATTTACGGTGCCGCCAGCATTAGTATTATCCAGGATGTACCGCGTGGAGGTTGCATGTCCGGACTTTATACCGCTGTGTATGTGTGTGCACGCGCGCGCGCGCGTGTGCATGTGTATGTGTGTGTGTGTGTGTGTGTGTGTGTCAGCAGAGATAGGGACTCCGCGGTTCGTCACTCCCGCAGTATTTAATGACTCCAAACCTTCTGTGCTGTATGTGTGTGTGCACGTGCGCGCGCGCGTGTGTATGTAAACGGGCTTTTACTGAATTAAGTGTTCAAATTGCCTTCCGTCTGCTGCTTGACAATGACCTAATCGTAGATGAAATTCATTTAAAACGTTTCGTCTCATTTCTGGTGAGATAAGATTTACTATTGGTGCAGTATGCGTTCCCTAAGGTCTGCCAAGTTAGCAGGTTTCGTTGTGTACACATTGTTTTTAACATATACCCTTAAATGTAGTCCAATGGAGAAAGTTCTGGTGATTTAGAGGGCCAGTCTATTTCTCCACGTCTTCCTATCCATAGGTTTGGGAAAGTATCAGTTAAAAATTGACGCACTACTATTGCATGGTGTGGCGGTACACCATTTTGTTGAAACCAAATATTTTGTATGTTTCCGTCAAACAAATTGTCAATAGCAGGAACTATTTGATTTCGCAATAAATCTAGATAAGTATTCGCATTTTAATTACCTTCGATAAAGAAGGGCCTGATAATACCACGTTCGCAAAAAACCCGCCCATTCATTCAGTTTTTGGGGATACTGTGTGTGGAGATCACGCATCCAGTGAGGAATTTCATCACTCCAATATTGGCAATTATGCCGATTTATCGCTCCATTCAATTTAAAAGAAGCTTCGTCGAAAAAATTATGTGATCGAAAAAGTTATTATCATTGTATCGACACATCATTTCGTCGCAGAATTCATTTCTTCGATCAAAATCATCTTCCGATAGCTCCTGCGTGATTTTAATTTTGAAAGGATGCCATTTCTCTTTCACTAAAATACGATAAATGGATATTGTACTAATCTCATGCGCCTGTGCTGCTTTCCTCAAAGTAGAATGAAGATTTTCGACAAATGTTTGCATCACTTCGAAACTGTTATCCAAGTTTGTTGCTAATTTTGGTCTGCCAGTGCGTTGTCGGTCCTTGTTGGTCCTGTTTCATCAATTCGACCATTTTCTGGACTGTAGTTCACTCCTGTCCTATTCGCAATAGTTTCCCATCGCTTTTTTCGGATGATTTGTAATACTCCGCTTTATTTTGGCAGGAATATTCACTGTACGAAAACGTTTCCGTACTGTTAGTGCGACGTAAACTTGACAAAAAGAAGTCGCTGACACGATAAAGTGAGAAGTCGATTTACGTGAAAACAAGCATACTGTTTCTGAAGAATCATTTTCTTGTAATAATATTCATTGCTCAAATTATTCTTTATTATATTACACTGTATATATATATCAGCGAGTCGAAGAATCCGAGAAGCAGCAGCAAAATGCACATTTCGGAGAGAAGGCAAATATCGGCAGCGTCGCATTTACATTCATATAAGAATTCATCTGTGTGTAGAAAAGTCGAAATGACAATGCACACACACATTTGTCCGAAGTCTGTGAGAAAAGATATATATGGAAAAATGCGATGAAAGGATAGCGTAATCGCATCAGCGCTTATCCGGCAATTGTCTTTACTATATAAATACTATGTAAATATATATACACATACATTACTATACATACATCCACACATACATACATACACATACATTACTATATAAATACTATGTAAATATATATACCAAAATTCACTAACGTCGATAACAGATGATAACATTCCCTACTTTTTGACGATCGCCTCTACGTTATCGACGCTTTGCAAGTTCGTTGACGACTTCAGCATCCCTCCAACTGAAACAGACAGTTCTCTCGTTAGCGCCTGCACCGCCGACCCGCCGTCGCGTGCAGGCCGTCGACTTTCGGTGAGTCTCGTCTCGTTCTGTCATATGTCAGCGAGGTTCGCCCCTTCGCGAACTTCTCCGCGAGCGTGCCGCACCGCGTACGCCGCGAGTGCGACTTCGTGTACTTTTCCACAAATGCGTCATTTCACGTACTTCTCTGCGGGTGCGTCCTCTTGCGATCGTCCCTGCGAGTGCTTTTCGCCGCGGACTTTTCTCAAGCGCATCTTTGCACACGCGCTTCCGCGCCCAGCGCGCCCGCGCGTTTTCTTGCATCGCATGCCTTTTGCGCCGCGCCCGTTCACGTGCGCGCTATGCGTTGCACTCGACGATCACGTGCGCCGATGCGTGATCGGTACGCGCCGTTACTATATCGGCGTGTCCTTGTCTTTGTGAGCGTTTGTTGTTATTGCGAGCGATTTGTATAGCGGTTTTCTTGCGTGCGTCTTTCCGTCGTTGCGAGCGTGCCGTTGTTGTCAGACACGCGGAATAAAGTTTTTTTCTTTGCGCCTACTTCGTTGTGTTCGCGCCGAGAGGAGGCGAACGAACGCCGGGAGCCGCTTCGTACGAAGCGCGGGAGTGGACACAAGAGCGAGTGAGCGTGACGAAAATGGAGCGAGATCAAAATGTTAAACACACGCGAAACTTTATTCTTTAACAATTGTGATTCGAGTTGGCTCGCGCCGTTGGAGGTTTTCGAATGGAAATCTTGCCGCGTTACGACCGGAAATCTTCTTGGCGGCTTGAACGACCGATCCAACCTTTACGCCGAATCGGCGGATCACAATTACAATTACAATAACTGACGGAAAGGCGAAAAGGGCGCGCACGTGGCCTTTTCGCGTGATTGCTGTCGCAGCTTCGCCCTTGCGACCGATTCCGATTCCGAATATAAATCGGATGAGCGCCGAATCGGCAGCAAAGAAAGAAAAGGTGGTCTCAAGATGCGGTGCGATCAGCATTCTGAGAATTGCGTGACTGATCTTGAAAAACGGAGCAAATTCGTCCCAGAGTCGTTAGCCACACGCGGTCCTTTTAGATTGGCTCGACTTCGCGACACGTTACCCGCTTTTTCTATATGGATATGTGGTGAGTCGCGAAGCGGAGCATTGTTTACACACGTGAGACGCGCGTGGCACATGCTCGAAACGTATGGCACAAACAAACATGCTCGCGACAACATCTCGTTTCCTTGTCGCTGATCCCCGCATCGTTGAGTCGACCCAATAGCTTTATTATGACAAAAAAAAACTTAAAACTAGCTGTTCATGTGTGGGGCGCGTGAACATTCCGCCCGCCTTGAAATCGCGGTTTCAATTAACATTATTACATGCGCCGATTAGGGCTGTGCGCAATCAACGGGGAGGGCACACAGCTTTACAATAGGACGCGTATACTCTGAGCTCGCCGTCCGAGCTGTCACGACTCGCACGAATCTGTCGGCGCCTGGGTGGCAATGCGTAACGCGACCTAACTCCCATTTACACGGGGGGAGCGCTGTATTTTTAAGAAGGACCAGTTGTCCGACTCTGATTGCAGGCTTGACCTACCGCCACTTATTGCGCTGTTGAAGCGAATTTACGTAGTCGGCGTACCAGAGCCTCCAAAATCTCTCAGCTAATTGTCGAATGAGCTGCCACCGAGTCAGCCGTTGCTCATTCAGATCTAACAATGAAGGCTCCGGGATTGCCGTAAGCGCAGATCCGATCAAGAAATGACCGGGAGTGAGGGGCTCGTAATCGTCGAGCGTATCAGATAGCGGCGCAATCGGCCGTGAATTAAGGCATGCTTCGATTTGGCATAGAAGAGTGGTGAATTCTTCGAACGTGAGTGTTTGATTCTTGAGCGAGCGACCCACATGATGTTTCACGCTCTTTATGCCGGCTTCCCACAGTCCGCCGAAATGTGGAGCGGAAGGGGGAATGAATCTCCACGTGATTCCATCAGTAGCCGTACGATTTTGAAAATTTGCATCGCGAAGCGCGGCACGATAAGCAGATGCGAGTTCTCTCTCGGCCCCGACGAAATTCGTCCCGTTGTCGGAGTACATGATGGCGGGGAGACCGTGACGCGCGGAGAAGCAAGAGAAAGCGTTTAAAAATGCTTGAGCTGAATAATCCACGACAAGCTCGAGATGTATTGCGCGTGTTGCTAAACAGATAAATAGCGCGATATATGCTTTGTGCGAGACGATTCCGCGCCCAGCGGAAACGCGAATGAAAACCGGTCTAGCATAATCAAGTCCGCAATGAATAAAGCTGCGCGTCGGAGCGGACACTCTTTCCTTTGGCAGGTCGCCCATTAGTTGAGTGGACATCGCGGCTCGCTCGTTAACGCACGCGATGCATTGATGAATTTGTTCCCGAACGAGGCTTCGCGCTTGAATGATCCAAAAATCGCGCCGAAGTATGCCCATCGTGAGCTGGATTCCGGCGTGCAACGTACGAAGGTGCGCGTGGTTGATTATGAGCTTCGTCAGGCGATGCAATGCCAGCAAGATTAGATGCCGCGTCTCGAACGGAAGGGGTGCTCGAGATATCCGCCCGCCAACACGAACAATCCCGTCACGATCTAAGAATGGACGAAGAGAGAGAAGCGGGTCATTTGATGGGAGCTCTTGATTTTTGCGGAGAGTTCGAATTGTGTTCCAAAAGAGCTCCATTTGGACGTGTTTCAAAATAAATGTTCGAGCATTTGAGCATTCCACAGCGGTAAGCGCTTGTCCGGGACTTTCCGCGTTAGGAGTGGAAAGCTTACCGCGACGACACGCAGACGCGAATCGTTGTATATAGGCGACGACGCGAAGCAGTTTCGGCCATGATGAAAAACGCGAGAATAGATCCCACGATTGAAGCGGCTCAGATATATGCAAGACGACGAGTTTTTCTTTCAGGGCCGCGGCATCGGCTGCATACGTGAAAAGGGGTGGCCATGCGTTAACCGATTGCGAAAGCCATGATGGACCTCGCCACCACAATGATTGGTTCAAAATGTTGTGACCCAGCAAACCGCGCGAAGCACAATCCGCGGGATTGTCGTGGGAACGTGACGCCACTGCGCGCTTGGGATACGCGTTTGCACTTCGGCGATGCGATGCGCCACAAAAACCTTCCATCGCGACGGATGTTGAGAGAGCCACGTCAAGGTGATTGTGTTGAATCCGACCAACAATAACACGGCACGGACTTGAGGTCGAGCGATAAGCAAACGAATTCGACAAGATGAGCGAGAAGCACAGCGGTCGATAACGGATCGAGACGCGGGATGCTTAACGGCTTAAGCGGGGCGACCTTCGATCTGCCAGCGAGAAGCGTGATGTTCACGTGATTAGACGGAGAAATAATCTTTAGGTAAACGACGGCCGCGTAAGCAGAATTAGAGGCGTCCGCGAATCCGTGCAGCTCGCAATGATGCACGGCGTCGTCAAAACCCGTCCAACGCGGAACCCGCAAGCCGTCGAGACCCGAAAGACCGGTGTAAATTTGTTGCCATCGCTCCAACATTGTGGGAGGAAGCGTCTCGTCCCAACCGAATTTCTGTTGCCACAAGTGTTGCATGAAAATCTTCGCTGTAATTGTGACTGGTGTGACCCAACCTAATGAGTCATACAATTTTGCGATAGTCGAGAGAAAATGGAGCGTTTGCTTTTCGGAACGCTTTCGGGCAGCGATACGCCGATTTGGAATTGGTCGATGGAAGGAAGCCAAATAATTCGGAGGATCTTTATTGTTTCGTCGGCCGCGAGTGATTTCGAGCACGCTAAGCCGTGATTGGATTCATCGATGTGGCGGAGTAGCTCCGGCGAGTTGCTGGACCACTTTCTCAATTCGAACCCGCCGCGGCTAAGAAGTGAGATGACTTGATCGCGGATCAGCAATACGTCGGTGATGTTGTTTCCCCCAAATAACACATCATCCACGTAGACATTATTTTTTAGGACGGCCACAGCGAGTGGAAAGTCACCTCCTTCATCGAGAGTCAGCTACTTGAGAACGCGAAGCGCAAGAAACGGGGCGCACGTCATGCCATAGGTAACGGTCAAAAGTTCAAATTCTATCGTTGGCTCGCAAGGATTCTCGGCCCATAGAATGCGTTGATAATTCGGATCGCGAGAATCGACCTTAATCTGCCGGTACATTTTTGCAATGCCTGCTGAATAGACATATTTAAATTGTCGCCACCGCAGAATCACAGATGGTAATTCCGCTTGAAGTTTCGGGCCAGCAAATGATCGTTCAGGCTTGAATCGTTTGAGGTCGGGCTCGATGCGTTAAAAACAACGCGTAAGCTTGTTGTCAAACTATGAGCGCGAAAAACCGGATGATGCGGAACAAAGAAAACTTGGTCGAATTCGGACGAGTCCGTAGACTCACGTACGCGCCTCATGTTACCGAGAGCCTCGTATTCGCGCAAAAAGTCGTAGTACGCCTGGTGCTGCTCCGAATTCTGCCGCAATCGACGAGAAAGAGACGCGAGACAATGTTGAGCGCGAGAACGCGAATGACCGATGTCGATCGGAGGATTGCATTTAAAAGGTAATCGCACTATATATCTTCCGCTCGACTCTCGTGAATGCGTGGACTCAAAATGCTCCTCACATTTTGTGTCCTCAGGGGAGCGAAGAGATATGTGCGGAACCTCCTCGACCTCCCAAAACCGCCGAAGCTCCAGATCGAGCGTCGGCGACTCTACGTAGTGACAAACCGACGCTATGCCGCGAGATGAAGCGAGAGCGTCTCGTGACGAGATCGACGACTTCACGCTCTCGGTCATGTCAATCGGCCTGGAGATTATCCAGCCGAGCGCGGTGTTTTGCGCGACGGGCAGTCCGGCTGTATCCCGTCGCGAAGAATTTCGCTGTAAAGGTCTGCGCCGATAAGAATATCGATCGGATCGCCGTTGAAAGGATTCGGGTCCGCCCATGGCAGCTCAGATAAATGTTGTAAACACCGCGCGTCAACCGTTTGTCTCGGAGCGTATGACGTGAGTGACTTTAAAATAACGGCGGTGGTCGTGAATGCCGGGTGCGGAGAGCTCACAGACGAGACAGAGACCTCGATTGCATACTTATAATGACCCGCGCTGATACCGCCGACGGCGGAGACAGAGATCGGCATACGATGATGCTTCGCGCGCAACATCTGAGCTAAATTTTCTGTCACGAACATCATTTCCGAGCCCTGGTCTAGAAGCGCACGAATAGTGACGACTCGTCCGCACGACGAACTCACTCGAACGCGAGTAGTGGCAAGAAGCACGGGGACGTGATGACTTGCTCTCGAGGAGGTGAGCAGAGTGTGCACCTCCGCGACTGCATTGGATGAGCCCGGCGCTCGCTCCGATCTCGAAGTTTCAGGCGTAAGGCTCGCGCGGGCTTCCGAAGCAACGTGAAGGAGAGAATGATGCCGCTGTTGGCATCGCCGACAAGAATATTTACTTTGACACTCCTGCACTCCTGAATGATTTTGTCCCATGCAATTGAAACAACGGCGATGTTTTTTAACGAGCTCGCGTCGTTGCTCCGGAAATGCGCGCGCCAACGACGGACACGTGCTGAGATAATGAGGCGCTTTACAGATCGGACAGGGCGATCGCGCCGAGGTGGACGCGGTTGCCACATGCACGCGAGAAACCGAGGCGGACTTAATTGTCGACTTGCTGGGAGCGCTCTGCGAAAAGTCTTCCAATGCGCGAATACGTCCCGCTAGGAACTGATCGAGCTCGTCGAACGTTGGCAATGAGCCACTGTCGCTCGAGCGCAAATTCCATGCCTTACGTGTGCTTGGATCGAAACTTTGAGTCGTTACATGAACAAGATGATCGTTCCATAATTCGGCTGGAGTGCGCCGTAAATGTTCCAACGCCGCGATAGTTAATTTTATTTTTCCGCGTAAGGCTTGGAGCTAGGACATTGACTCCCGAGATAACCGAGGCAGGTTCAGCAACGTCGACAAATGAGCCGTTAACAGACGACGTCTGTTATCGTAGCGATCGAGCAGCACGCGCCACGCGCCCGAGAAATTATCCGCCGTTACTGCGAAATCGGCGAGACATTCGAGAGCGCGACCGCGAAGAAACGAAACTAAAAAATGCATTCTCGTGAAATCATTGAGCTCCTTATTTTCAATAATGAGCGTTGTAAAACGGTCACGAAATGATTCCCACTCGGTTATGCTGCCGTCGAACGGCGGCAATTGAATGGGCGGCAAGTGAGAAAGCGAAAACGCGGATCGCGAACTGCGCTGAAAAGAAGAATCGACGGAGTGCGGGCTCACGGGAGGCTCGAGTTCCTCGAGAATTTCGGCTATGAAATCCAGTGCAGTCAAGTAGATGACCTCGGTGCCCTCATAGACCTGCTCGGAGAAGTAGCTCACGTTCGCCCAGGTAGATTCCGGAACGGTCTTCTCCAGCATAGCGTGGCCATCGGTGAGCTGCATCCAGAGCTCCTTTAAGGTCCGCATTCGATGTCGCACGATTGCCGGAGTATAATTATTCCGGCCGATCTTCTTGAAATTATCGAGGTAGCGCACGATCTGGCGCTGCACCTGCATTTGCCTCTCCATGGTTCTTCCCGCTCACAATCACTTCGGTTTACACCCGGTAATACGCTGCACTCACCGATCCGGCTCGAAGGACCAGAAATTTGTTCGCGACGAGAAGAGGCGAACGAACGCCGGGAACCGCTTCGAACGAAGCGCGGGAGTGGACGGTAGAGCGGGCGAACGCGACGAAATGTTGAGCAATATTCAATAAAGTCCACAACAAATCTAAACTTTATTCTGTACTACAAGCATGATGCGCGTCGATTTACGTCATCTCTTTGCGAGAACGAATATCTGGCAGTGATCCGCATGGAAAACTGCGCGATTGATTGACCGTAACGGTGACGACCGGAAACGGTCTAACTTTGACTTTAATCGACGTTTACCGAAATTGAGCCGAGGTTTTGATAATCCGCGAAAGGAGCGCGAACGCGGCTTCCTCGCAGGAATGCCGTCGCAGCTTCGCCCTTGTGACCGATTCCGACGAGAAATCGGATGAGCAACGAGAGAACAATGGTCTCAAGACGCGATGCTGTCAGACTTCTGAGAATTGCGTTACTGATCGTGAAAAACGGAGCGAATTCGTCCCAGAGTCGTTAGCTACACGCGGTCCTTTTTAATTGGCTCGATTTCGCGATACATTACCCGCTTTTTCTATATGGATATGTGGCGAGTCGCGAAGCGGAGCATCGCTTACACACGTGAGACGCGCGTGGCACATGCTTGAAACGTATGGCACAACAAACATGCTCGCGACAACATCTCGTTTCCTTGTCGCTGATCTCCGCATCGTTGAGTCGACCCAATAGCTTTATTATGATGATAAAAAAAACTTAAAACTAGCTGTTCATGTGTGGGGCGCGTGAACACCGGCAGAATTGAATTTCGGAAAAGATTTAAAGTTACCTTTAGATTTACTTCGTGGAACTCCTCCGAAAGATTGTGTCACAAACTTTAGAGATTATGTTTCTGTTTTAAAAGGAAAATTAGATGAAGTTTATTAAAGTGTTAGGCAGAAAATGACTTTAAATTCGGAAAAGATTAAAAGGTGGTATGATCAGGGAGTTAAGAAATGTTTATTTGAAGAAGGTCAGAAAGTTTGGTTTTTCAACCCACAAAGGAAAATTGGGAAAGCTCCAAAGTTACAAAGTAATTGGGAAGGACCTTATGAAATAGTAAAACGGTTGAATGAAGTAGTTTATTGTATTAGAAAATCGAGTAAGAGCAGGAATAAAGTAGTACACGCAGATAGGTTAGCTTCTTTTAGTGAGAGATAGAAATAAGGAAGACATCAGATACCTGTAAATTTTTAATGGTAAAATTATTTAGAACAAAATCTTGCGTTCATTTTCTTTACTTTAAGGTTTAATTTTGGAGAGCGGTTTCGGAAGACCACATCTGGGAAAAAGAAAAGAGAGAAGGCTTCTTCCCCCACCGTTTTTGATCGTGATTTTTCCGTGGGACATTGGGCGAATGCCGAGGCAGGGATTCGGGGTGTTCTATAAAACGTTGGGTCCACGGTAGTTCCCCCCTCCCTTGTTCGAAGAAGAGCCAAGGAGGAGACGGACGAGGAAGAGAAAGAGAAGCGGATCGTTTTTAGAAAGGCCTTGAAGATGGTTTACTTCCTGGAGGACGAAGATAAGAATGGTGCTCTGGGAACAAGGAGTCAAATTCCTCGGAACCCTTTGATTGAGAACATGGAGTTCGGTAACCCGTAGCAGCTTAGGAAAGGGAATAGGGAACTAGTGCTTCCGGCCGCTACCCTTGAAGGCAGGCACCCCCCTGGTGTTTTAGTCGGTGCGAGTCCGACATAACCCGAGGGCCCTCCCAGGGCCCGTGGGTACCCATAAGGGGTTTCACTAGGGTCACCAAAAAAAAAAAAAACCTGTAGCAGCAGCTCAGGGTAGAACAAGTACTATGGAATTCTCTGGAGTCAAAGAAGAGGATGACCCTGCTCAGGAGAATTGTCGGGACAACAATTTCTAGAGAAAGAGGGAGCAATGTTGTGTACGAGCCACAAGGAGTGTGGAAGCCTCAGTTGTCCGCGAGCCTTAGGCATATGGATTTTGACAGTCGAAGGATGTTTGTCTGGACGACGAGAGTTGTTGAAAAACAACAGCAGAGAGTCTGTCACAAGCCGTCACCGCGAGAAGACGTGACCTGGACGTTTTTCCTTAATATTGTTAAGATGAGAAGATTTTCGTGAGTCTGTATATATTGGAAATAAAACGGAGTTCTTCTTTTCTTTTAATCCTGTGTTAGTTCATTTCGCGGACCTGGTACGCGCGAGACGGAAATGCTCAACAATATATATATATATATATATATATATAATTATATTAATATATGGTTGTTAGTATTTTTGTAATTGCCGTTTAATAGTATATAATATTTAATAGTATATACTTACATCGTTTTCTGATGCCATTTCCAAACGGATCACCAATAATATAATAATAAAAATATAACCTTGTCTTTGCGCGGTTGATAAAGGAAAAGGACGTAAAATGATTATCGATAATTGTATTTTCAAGTGATAATCGATTCCGCGTAGCATGCGCGTAGCGACACCAGTTGGTCTGTTCTTTTTAGCTGCGCTGGTGCAGTATTAGTATAATACAGTACCAATACAGTAGTGCAGCTAAAAAGAACAGACCAAACTTGGTGTCGCTGCGCGCATGATACAAGAAATCGATTATGATTTGAAAATACAATTATTGATAATAGTCAATATACATCCTTTTCCTTTAATCAACAAGAGATTCCCGTGAGACAACTGCAAGGTTATTTTTATTATATTATTGGCGACAACCTATCCGTTTGGAAATGGCATCAGAAAACGATGTGAGTATTATATACTAATAATACTATATGATATTTTTATAATTAAACGGCAACTATTACAAAAATACTAATAACCATATATTAATATAATAGTAAATATATATATATATATATATATATATGTATATACTCAGGATACATTCGGATTATTCGTTATCACATTTGCGGGAAAATTGCAGCTCTGGCTAGAAGAACAGTCGTGAACTATTTTTCTGCTCTGCATTATCATATTTATCGGAAGACCTAACCGCATATATTAAAAATTTTTCTGCAAAGTTTTCGTATCTTTTTAAGTTTCCTACCTAAATTTTGAGTTGTTAGAAATGATTTGTAAATTTTTCCTCTTTGGAGCATCCAGAGTTTCAGTACATACAAGTTGCAAAACTTTTGTATTAGATAAATATTACGCTAACTGACAATTCGAAATTTTAATTTAAAAATTTTTTATCGCTTTCGTCACATATTGAGTGATGCTCCAATTAATTTTTGTACGTACTTTCATCGTGTAAAAGCATATTTAATTCTGAAGCATTTAAGACGACGTAAACTTTACAGAAAAAATATCAAATTTTGACAGTTCTCTGTCGATAAAGCGTTCAGCATCCCCTTAAGTTCAAAAATGTTAAATGCGATATTAATCAGTGGTACATATAAATAGGGATAAATCCGGCCTCAGGAAGGAGATCTTGCAAATATATGTAAAGATAAAGGTCATTGCAAGTGGATCTCCTATCCGGTATATTTATCATAAATGTTTATAACAGAATATAATAGCATATATCAATTTATCCCAGTTTATCAGATTATATATTTATCAAATATAAATCCAAAATTGACCAGAATTAATGTAGAAAGGAATGTGAAGTAGAGACTTAAATGTTAGCTAAAGTAAGAACGGAAAAATGTCAACGACGACACGTAATGTACGAAAGTATAAAAATAGGAAGCCATTTAAAGCCGCAATGTGTGAATTTAGAATAAATATCAAATAAAAGTAAGCAACCCTTTTTTAGAGTTATAAACGTTTCTCCATATTGGCGACGAAAGTTATTTATACTTGTTTATTAATCATGCATGAATAAATAATCGAGTATTTTATCATAATATTTTATTATTGCCTTGTTTACAATAAATATTCTGCGTATTCTCCTTCCATTTCCACACACCTTGATACCTTCGATTTACAGAATTACGAACTTTTGTAACATTATAAAGATTAACTTCTCAAGATAATATTTCGTTAATAATATCAGCAAGTTCATCATTTTCCAACATCGTGAGATGATTACCTTCGATACGACGAACTTGCACGTTACCTTCAGTTACCTGAATAATAATTAATTTTGCCGTCAATTGATTTTCGAAGGCGGAAACTACATCGATATGCGTCCTTATATTAAGATTACCTTTTTCAAGTCGCTATTTTCGTCGGCAGAAGGCAGGTAGGACGTTGTAGGTTTTAGTAATAGTATAGGCGATTTCAGTGGCGGTGATGAGGACGCATCATACTCGTGAATAGCGATCAGATGCTTATAAACCGTTGTACAATAAATCTTGTAATTTTCAAGAGAAGTTACTTGCACAATATCGTCTGAAAGACATTTGACGACAGCATCCCATTTTTTCTCCCACGTGTCGTGTTTAGACAATTCTAATAAAACCTGTTAACAATTATCGTTATTACGTGTCTTATATTATAACAATAAATTCACCATACACAACATACCGATGTATTATCGACAGAGTAGAAGAGATCTATAAGGCCTAGGAGAACATTATTCTGAAATTCCTGAAGATTCGTGAAAGGAAAATATTGATCTTTCAGAGTTTTCATATAATCCGGTGTGCCATCAATTAATATTAACCGTCCTGTGAAATTTCTCGCCTCCAACAATCGCGTCAACTCGATAGCGATTAACGACCCGTATGAATACCCAACTATTATGAATTCCGCAGAATCCTCCATTTTTGATATTATATGCTACAAAAAAAGAGAGAGATATAAATGTTCTTTTTTTCTTATTAGTTTCTTGACCGATGTGACGCAATTCCAGTCTAGTGGAATGGAATCACGGAAATATCGAAAAGGCAACTTCCCTGTTATATTAATACGTACAGGTAACAAACTGGCAGCCGACTGCAATACAGATTCACTCGTGGGGATATTGTTTGCTCCGTGCTGCAAGCATATCACGGGACCTTCGATTTTCGAAGCCAACGAATTAAATACGTTCCCACAACCTTCGATTCCTGGTAGAAGAAATATCCGCTTTGTGCCCACTTTATTTCTCGTAGTTATCTCCAAGCAAACATCTGGAACTATGTCTAAATTATTGCTTAAACGAATTAAAAATTTTGTACCCGCCGAATCGAGTGTCTCAGTCTGCTCAAAACGCTTGTCTTTGTCGGCCATATTGTGGAGTTTCTCCAAAGTGAGAGTTCTAATGTCCTGCGCGGTAAGATAAACGTCGAATTCTTTCTCCAACGTTTGCTTGATCTCTACCGCCGTCATTGAATCCATACCGATCTCTGACAGTGGTGTGCGAAGTCTTACCGTTTTCACATCTTTTATACCTAGATAAGCAAAGGCAGGAGAAGATAAGGCTCTTGGTTTTTTATCATGATCACATAAATCACAACAAAAGTTATGAGAAAAAATACACACACCATTCTTGCCAAAGGTGTTTTATAAAACAGTAACATTTAATAACTATTATACTTCGGACAGTAAAAAAAATGATGTAAGGAAAAGTTGAATCCCAATCTTGAATTGAGTGGGCACACTATTTTTTTATGAAATCGATTTTTTTATTGGTGCAATGAAGGTTGGGCCATAAAAATATAATTGCACTTTTATTTTAAATAGAACTCCTTTATTTTTTGTACAAGTAGATTTTTAAAATATTTTTCGTAAATTTTTTGTATAAACAGATATTTTAAATATTCTCCATAAAAAGGATAAGATGACCAAAAAATGAGTAGTTAATAAGACATTTAAGATTTATTAAAGTAAATGTTTAAACGTTCCATCATACAATAAACATTTGGCATCGAGTGTCTAGAAGGATATTTCGAACACTGTTTGTAAATATTCAATTGCGTCAAAAAAATTGTATCGTTTATGCCTGCCTAACAATAAGAATCGTACGCAGTAACGAGTTGTAATTCAATGAAGAAAATATATCATTATGAAATTTGTAAACAATGAACAAAAATAGGCATGTTCACCATTTTTGTGTTTTGTGATAAGGATACTATAAATGCTGCAATTATATATCGTCTCATATCCGTAATGTTGCCAAATGTTTGTGGTACGACGGAACATTCGAATATTTATTTTAAAAAATCTGAAATGTCTATTCATTTAACTACTTACTTTCTGGTTATTTTAACTACTTCTTTCTGCAGAATATTTTAACTTGTACAAAGAAAAATCAGGGGCTTCAGTTTAAGATAAAAATGTAGCTGCATTCTTCTCGTCACTGCACTACCAAAAAATTGACTTCGTAAGACAATAACGCTTATGAGAACATTCAACTTTTACTTACGCTGTCTTATTCTTTTGTATTATCCAAAATACAATAGATATTAATTGTTAGGATTCTGCGAAACACCCTGAATATAGTTAACATTGTGTGTATCATTAATTGTAATTTTTTAACTTTAATTTCAATGTTTTATCGTAAAAAATTTTCGAAGTGATCATCAGATTTGTCACGTTTATGATGAAAAAATTACCCATGATACTAGCTACAGTTTCCACAATGTCCATCACTCCACCAAATGTCGCGCGCTTCTCTGCCACAACCATACTACCCACGATCGGCTTATTTAGAACCATGAAAGTGTCCAGCGACTGAAGACAGGATTGTATTTTCTGTTGTAGAGTACCGCCGATGATCAGTTCCTTATTGTCCTCTTGCATATCGGCCACGAGACCCACATCACCCACCGCGCCCCACTGTATAGCCATCCCAGGTAATCCGTCTTGTACTCTTCTCTCGCATATTCTCTCCATGATGGAATTGGCCATACCGTAATTAGTTTGGCCGGAGTTTCCTCGGCCACACGAAACGGATGAGAAGACAACAAAGTATCGGAGGTCAGGGCACATTTTCCTGGACAACTCGTCCATTGTTTTCGTCGCCATTGCTTTCGGTTTAAATGATTCCTCGAAGGACTCAGTTGTCTGATTCTTGTAGAGAGAATCTTTCAGCACTACGGCAAGATTGAATATAGCGTCCACCGGTCCCATTTCAATGGCAGTGTTCAGGATGGACACGCCGTCCTTGTGATCAGACGCTTCAGCACTCGCGATAATCTGCACATTCACCCCGTAGGACTTCCATAATTCTACCCTCGAGCGCTGGTAACCGTTTCGCAATCCTGTCCGCGAAGTGAGAAGAAGATTCTTTGCTCCGCGAAGAATAAGCCAGTCGGCCAATTCTAGACCAAAGCCGCCTAATCCGCCCAAAATGATGTAGGACATATGAGACTTGCAGAAAAATCGGGGATAAGCGAGAATAGGAAGACTCAATGGCTCGTTTTCATCGCATATCTTTATCAGGATCTGAAAATAAGGATGATAGTAACAGAATTTCATCGCGATCATATATAAAGCAGTTGTTGCGATAACATTAAAAACATGAATTTCTAGTGTGCGCGAGAAATTACCTTTCCTATGTGCTTGCCAGTTGCCATATACCTGAAGGCATCTTCTACTTCGGTCTTTTCAAAGACTTTCCTAGGAAGAGGTTTTATCGAGCCATTTTTCAGACATTGTAACATATAATTATATATAATTCCGTAATTCTTTGAGACGGAACTTATTATATTGTCTAACATAATTGCATGGAAACTGATGCCTTTCGCAAAAATCATTCTGTCTAAAGTATTATCGGCGATCAAGTCATATTTTCCTATTTCCAAGAATCGACCGCCTTTTGCCAAGCAGCGAATAGACGCCTGAAGTTCTCCTCAGCTAAGGAATTCAATACGATATCAACTCCCCGACCGCGTGTCTGCTCAAGTATCATTTGTTCGAAACTTGTGTCGCGAGAATTGCCGATATGATCGTCAAGGATCGAAGGAAAAGTTTCTCTAATGAATTGCCGTTTCTTCAAAGTTCCGACTGTCGTGAATACTTCGCACTTTTCGTACAGCGCGAGGTGGATCGCGGCTTGACCAACACCGCCGGTACCCGAATGAATGAGAACTTTGTCTCCTCTTTTCATTTTTCCTTTCTCGTAGAGAGCGTAGCAGCTTGTGGCATAAACACACGGAACTGTGGCAGCATCCTCGAATGTCCATTCATCGGGAATAACCCAAGACATAACGTGGTCCTGGATTGCAACATTTGATATTCCTCTAAAAATATAAATTATGTTTTCATTCAAGTTGACGTCGTCTTTCAATCATGGAGGGAAGATTGATAACTGCATTACATATCTACATTAGTGCTAAATCTAATATCCTTCAATACAACATTGTTATTGAATTTATATCTATGATATAATAACTATATTTTGTATTATATCCTCTCACCTATCGGAGCATAACGCCATTATTCTTTGTCCAAACCCATCATACCCGACAAATTCAAAGCCTAAGAAAGAATCGATATCTCGTTCAATCATTTGGAAGGATTCCAACGCCAGTTTACCAGTAGCTATCATAATATCTCTAAAATTCAGTGCCGCGTAAATTTTATGTATCATATTTTCGCGGCTGAGTTTGGGAGATGTCCGTCCTTCGACCCAACGGATTGTGCTCATATCACCTCGGATCTAATAGGAATTAAGTTCACAATATAATTTCGTATTATTATTAATATAAAAAAAATTGTTGTAAAGGAATGGTTTTGACTTTTGATGAAAATTGAGTTGTTCCGACGTTTTCCGCATAAAGATAGATAAAGTTTTATGCAAATTTCTTTCCGTGTCCACTTTGTTATCGTATACAAAACCCTTATGTACCCTTTGAGCGACGTAACCGCACTGCACAGGTATGGGTTCCGGCGGCGATAATGACAAGTGTCTGTAAGAGCCCCAAACTTTGCCGGGACGTAAGACATTAATGGGTAAGTCTAGTCGCAACTGATTCATGTAAAAAGGCTCTTGCAAGGAGAACTTGGGCGCGTTCTTATCCTGAATGAAGACGCATCTAACTGTGTCGCCGCCTGGCTCCTTTCGCAAACAATTTACAAATCCTATGACACCGCACTCAGGATCATCTTCCACAACAAGTGTTACTCGTGAGTTCGTCTCGTCGTCCGTGTCCAATGAAGATTTGAGCTTTTCGATCCACGAAAACTCGTAATTGTTTATATGCACGATTTCTCTTTTTATTATTGCACTTTGCGCCTTTCTCAGAAGCAACACCAACTCCCGTTCCGTGCGTTTCTCCAAAATGATATTCAAATTGTACTGTTGGAGCAACTCATTGTCGTATGTGACATTGAGGTCCTCTCGGGTAAACAGAAAGCCACCAGCCATTATATTAGACAGTAATGTGTGTGCACTTTTCGTTAATACTCCAACTCCAACAACCATTAGGAACGTATCGCCGTTTAACACTTTGTTAGGTTGTACGACCGATAGATTTTGTGGTAACAAAGAGCAGTCGAATCTGTTCTCCATCGCAGCCAACGTCAGATTAGATCGCACTAATGGCAAGTTGCTCAGAACTTTGTCCACAATTGGAATAACTAGATCCTCCAGTAGAATCTTGTCATCGTCCTCGACAAACTCGATCACTTTGACGTTTCTCAAATTGTAACATTCAAGCGCGATGTGTATCGATATTTGCACCGCATCTTTCAAAGAGATCGTGTTATGATCGCGGTGAGCAATGAACTTGTATTCTTCGTGTACAGATTCGACGTTCGTCGATCGGCGGGATATGACCATGGACTTCAGCCCACAAATTTCAATTCCTCCGGATATAATGGCGTCGAAAGAATCATAGACACGTACGGGTACATCTGTAATAAAATTTACAATATGGAGATGACAATAGGAAACCTGCATGAAGAGCAAAATATTGCAAAATACGAAAATATTTTAAATTAAATTGTGCGTTCTTACTTCTTTCTTCAATAGAGAGGTTATGAAATTGCGTCATATGATGTGCAGGGTCGATTACCAATTTACGAATTTGAGTCGGTACGTAAAGATTTCTCGAGTCAACCGATAAGAGTTTTATTTGCAGCATATTGTCCATAAATGCTACCCAATTTGTTGCCCACGTGATATGCCCTGTACTTCCATTAATTGAGGAGCTTTTTAATGAACGAAATAGACCATTATACTGGTAGCCACGGAGTCGTAGTTCCTTGTAAATATCTGCAGCATTCATGCATTCTTCATCATCTTCGTTTTTCGATAGAAACTGAACGGATATTTTCTCTTTCACGATATCGTCAGGCACCCTCACGACTCCACTGACGATTACATTCTCTCCCTCTATAATCTCGAAATTATTATCGCCTGTAAAAGTATTACAATTATTACACGATAATATCACTATTTCTCTGAATCTATTACATCGACTTGATTTCTATTGTTGAAGACAATTTTGTTGTTACAGGAAATTGAACCTCACTGCGACTTCGCAATGTTTTTCCATCTTTTTTCTTAATGTTGATTATATTATTGTTAATGTTGTGTCACAATATCGCTGTAAGGGAATATCGAGAATTGAGTCCCGGGTAATTGCAAAAGTATTTACCTTCTTGGATCATAATAGTTAAGTCCAGCTTGTCTTGTCGTGATAAGTGAGTAGCGCGTATGAATTTAACATTTTCAAATACAATAGGTATGTTTCTGTGATCAATGCCGCTCAACAAACCAATAGTATGCCAAATTTCGTAAAGGTAACCCATAGCTGGTAACAAATTTCTTCCATCGATTATATGGTCAGACATATATTCAAAATCTGCATCAGCGGTTGTAATAGTGACGATTCTTTCTCTGCTGAAAATTTTACTTTCACCTGTATAATGGTAGAAGTAATAGTCCTCAGAGTGATTCCATCTGCAATATTGTTTTAAAATTAGTAATGTAAACAAAGAATCGTGATTCGTTTTCTTATACTTATATTTCAGCAAGAAGCGGACCTAATGAGAGGAGATATCATTGGTGTTCCCCGACTAACAGGAAATTGCACTGGCGGATACAAACTTGCAATCTGTGGCTGAAGTCCTACATTATAAAGATCTCCGATTCCTTCTAAAAAGTTTTGCATAGTATGCTTCTGGCCGCGTTTATAGAGTGAAATCAACGTTATCACTGACTCCAAGTTTGATATGAGTGGCTGAAAAGTATTGTGTGGTACTATGTCGACGAGTATCGTATCTTTCGGTAACAAAGCTGTAATTTTTTGTAATGGTACTGGATTCAGTATAATGTCTACATAATATTCTGCAGCGGTCTCAAACTTGTCGCGTTCGCTTCGTGACCTGCCCAACTGTGTTACACCGCGGCTGTTTGGAAAGTTCGCTGGTAATATTCGGTAGAGATGCTCCAAGAGTTTTGATCTAACAACATCAAGATAGTTGCCTTGATTCGTAGTAATGTCATCAACCTGAGGAGCAATGATCAATATTATTATGCCTGGTTTCATAAGTATGTATAAATGGAACATACATAAACAATCGCTCCACATAAGGAAAGCGGAAATTAGTAATTAAAATGAATTCAAAAGTCGTTAAAACCTGAGACATGGCCTGCTCAAACGCCGTGCCTATGAAAGATGCCGTCAAAATTGTTGTCTCGATAGTGAAACGTCCATCAACATATTCGGATATAAGTTGGCCAATAGACTGACCTATCGTGTAATCGGATAGAATACCAATGTGTGTTAAGATATCCACTATTCCAATCTAAAATGTTGTTGATAAAAGTATTGGCTTTTAATTGAGAGGCTATTACATCATACGTTTACATGGTTTTACGTGGCTAAATACCGATATAAATATACACACACACACACACACACATACGAGTACTTAAATAATTTATATGTTGGACTGTGCTTAGTCAAGCATTTTATATATTGTGAATATAAAATAATTGATGTTTCTTTCTTATACCTGTATGGCAATGATTGCTACAAATGATTCTACGATGCTATTGCTGGTAGTTTTATTTTTGTTTTTTATAATATCCGTAACACATATATCCCGCTGCTTTAATGTTTCATTACATTTCTTTATTGCCTTTGCAAACACTGGTAGTTTCATCAGTTCTTTAATATATCAAAAGCAAACATATTAATCATATATGAAGGACATTGTATACATGGAGTTGTATATATCCATTCCATCAAATTTATGTATTGAAATTAAAATATTCGTAATAGTTGCTTTCGTACCTATGCTACGCCACTCAACTTCTGTTCCAGGAAATACAAAGCAGATTGGTCTCCTTGGGTTTGCGCAGTTTTCAACTTTTCTTATTTTGTTCCCCTTTCAAACCAAACAACTTTTGTTTAAACCTTATTTTTTTGTATCTTTAATTTTCTAAGAATGATTAGCGTTATCACTTAAATCAGATATACTGTAGCACATATGCACATTTCATATTTAACATCTTTATTTCGTAATAATAAGTTTGCATATTATGTCATTAAAATTAATTCTTTTGCATTTTGTAGTAACTGAGGAAAATGCATAAGAGACAGTTTATTGAATACAGCGCAAGCTGAATGAATACACAACATCTATCTACAGCATGCGCTTTAGACAATGATATATCTCGCTTTTCTAAATATTCATCATGATATATATAGTTATTATTATATATAGATGGATTTCGGCATCAAATGCTCTTTAATTTTTATCCTCAGGGAAATTTTTTTAATTTCTGGCAAATTAATGAGTAGGGGCTGGAAATTGAAAAATTTTTGACCATTTCTGAAATCTGAATATACCGTTGCAACAGTAATACTTAGTATGTAAACTTGTGTAGGAACTTTTTTATAAATCCTTTGTCTTTAGAAGATATTCGCAAAAATGGAAATGGTTAGTTTTTTTTCGAGGATTGTTTCAACGTCCTAAACCTTGAGATACGCAATATAAATACGGTCTAGTAGTTTTTGTTGTTTGCTCTACAACATAATCCAAAGCCATCAAATCGGGTGAGGACAGTTCTATGGTTTTTCTTGTAAGAGGATCGTATGTGATATATATTTCAATGTTTTTTTAAGGTGTTGATAGCGATGGAAACGGCATATTCCCCCACCATACACTACAAACACCGCGAAAGGACTGACTCCTATATTGAAGGACAGAATGATGTCGTCATTGAACAACCTTCATGGACGGTGGTTACATTGGCGTTAATAATTTCGGATTTGGCGGTGGAAACTTGTCACATAACTCTGAAATCAAATCCAAAAATAAAATCAATGTTTTGGAATCAGAATGGCTTACCTAGACTTGTAGCCGGTATCGGTCGTAACTGGAGGAGGCTGTTCAGGCTCTATTAGATGACGTAAGTAATTTAACCTAAAAACGTATTTTTAAAAAATCCAAATTAAAATAGAAATTATCAAGATCAAAATGTTTTTTCCGTGATAAGATGTTCTATGTCCAACTCTGCGCGGTAAGGTGAATAGCCGACAGATAGACGTGGGAATATATGGTCTTTGCATAGCATTCATGGCAGAATATTCAAGGCCATTCCTATGAGGATATCACTATTGCTGGACCTGAGTTTCCTGTTAACA